TTTTCGGTTTAGTAATCCTCGTGCTATTCCCAACATACCTACCAATTTTCAAAACTTTCTGACTTTTGTCGTGTTTAAATCGTAATATTACGGGATTAATAAAAAATAGGCAAATGTAATGTTAGCCTGTAAAAATACTTTTATTAATAAAAATATTTAATTGCAATTATCTTGATTCACAAAAGCTTAAATATTTCAAAAAATAATCCTAAATAATTCAGATGGCATAGGAATGTATTTTGCATCGATCTATTATCTACCGCAGCCCCGTTTTCTAATGTTAGGTAAGATTTTTACTTTTAATCTGAATATTCCAAGTAGTTTTTAAATCTTTCTAGTCGGTATGTCAACACTGTGCAAACAAGATGAGATTCTGGTAATTGCTTGGTATTTGCGGCTGATTAACGATTGCTGACGGCGCGGCGGCTCTCAAAATGTTGCTATTATTTTTTTAAATTTTCGAAGTTAAATAACTTGGTTAGGTTAGGTTATTTATTTTAAAAATGGTAAAGAGAAAATATGTTTCTTTTGACCAGATCTAACACCGCTTAAAATACATGCACTTATTTCTGGGACTCCCTGTACAAGAGAAAAAAGTAATAATGAATGAAGTGACACACACATTTATTTTAAAACATCTTTTCAACTATACCCAGAAAAAAAAATTACATTGTCTTTTTTCGAATATCTTCCAAAGTATTCGAATTATTTTAGTTTGTAGCACGGCTCTTAATTAATGATAAATTTGCCCTTCTGTTTGGTCCCTCGAATTTCAGACATAAACAACCATAAATACAAAGACTTACCCATCCATGTTCTCTTTTTATTGTTAATTACATCAGATTAATTTTCTTTTTTTTTCTGTTATTGAAAAACGACGCAAAAAGCATTTTTTTCACATAACTATTTTCCTCTCCTGTTTTTTTTTCAAAAATTCTTTTGGGGTATAGTTACACGTGGAAAATCCAGAAATTCCAGACTGGAGTACAAAGTAAAAAACCTATTTGACGTAAGAAAAAAAAACGCAGAAATTTACATGAGTAGTGGAGGATTTTATTTGCCACGTAAAAAGAAGATACAATGCTTAGTGAAATGTTTGAAATATACCAACGAATCGAAAAAATGTACAAAAAACTAGTTAAAAAGCGGTAAAATGCAACATATTACACTGAATTCCGTTTGTGTCTGTTTTAATTTAACACTCTCCATGAGGTTGTACAATTTATAGGAGTTGTAATGCCGCAATTCAATATCAGTAATGGTATTTGGTGTATGCAAATGGACATGCATATAATATTGTAAACTTTTGGGTAGTTCAAATACACATTAAACTGTTAAACTGTTATTTACATTACGAGTTGGATGCTATTAAATTGATAAGAGACTCTCAACGTGCATACAATCAAATAATATGAATCTTTTGTAATTTAGTAGTAAACTGAACTGATGGACATACAAAATGCCACTAATTTTTGTGATATCATATCTTTTGATCCGCTTAATGGATTTTTAAAAAAAATTCACTGACAAATAGCCGCACTAATTGAATGCACAAATGCACATTGGCGTAAAATTTTAATTTTTCTGTCAATTTAATTTAATCTACAGGATAAAATAAGAAGTAACATTTTTACACATGGTTGACATGCATTGATTTATTTTTTTTATGGTCTTTCTGTCGGTTGATCCATATTGTCCATTTTATGTTCCATATACCGGGTGCGTCTCAAATGTGTGGCTCACCCCCATTAACTTTTTTATTTTTTCAGATAAAACAAAAACGAGATTTGGTATGTTAGTATATGACATCAATTAAGATTGATTGACGTATTCAATTGTTTTTGATAACTTCCTGTTTCACGGGAAATAACTCTTTTAATTTTTAAATGGCACCCTTGATATTTTTTCCTTTATTCGATAGAAAATGACATTTTCGCTTAAAACAAAATTGTATTTTAAATTTTAATCTAGAGTTCCATGACTGTTTTAAAAACACTAATTTTAAATCAAGGAGCCTTGGAAAAATAGATTTGATCGTCTAATGTTTTTAGTGTCTTCTCCGGGCCGGTCAAAAGAGGCCCAAATCGTGTTTTTAATCATATCTCAATTTTTCAAATGGAACGAGGGTGGCTCATTAGCATATTTGGAAAAAGCATTTTTTTACGAATAATTTGATACCACACAATTGGTATCTCGAGTCAAATTGTCGTTATGAATTGCATGTTGCAATTTCAAATAAACCATATTCGAAAATGTCAAAAGTTGACATATGATATGTCATTCTATTCAGAGTGTCATTTTCTATCGAATAAAGTAACAAAATACCGAGGGTGTTAGTTAAAAATCAAAAGTAGTAGTCATTTCCGGTGACAACAGGAAGTGACCCAAAACAATTGAATACGTCAATCAGTCCTAATTTATGTCATATACTAACGTACCAAATCTCGATTTTTTATCTGAAAAAAAAAGTTATAGAGGTGAGCGAGGGGGTGAGCCACTTTTGAGACGCACCCGGTATATTCCAAATACATATGTTCAATTTTAAATTTATTAGCTCAAACTTATATTTTCAAATTCGTTCAATGTTATTTTTGACAAAAAAATATTGACAATTTTTAGAAGTAGAAGAATTGGCTACCTCCGTTTTTCCTGCCAGCCAGTCGGCCTGTTAAAAACCTCGTTATGACACAAAAAGTGCCAGAAACTATAGTGACTCGATTTGTATGTTCCTCAGTGTATTATTTTATACAGGGTGAGTCTTAAATTAGCGCAAACATTTTTAGGGAGAGTATATTTCGACCCCAGAAACACGATTTTTATGTTTTTTTGAATTTGCTACCTCCGTTTTTCCTGTTAAAAACCCCGTAATGTCACAAAAAGTACTACAAACTACCGGGCGCGTCTCAAAAGTGGCTCACCCCTATAACTTTTTTATTTTTTCAGATAAAAACGAGATTTGGTATGTTAGTAGGTATATGACATCAATTAAGATTGATTGACGTACCTATTCAATTGTTTTTGATCAATTCCTGTTTCACCGGAAATAACTACAGCTTTTAATTTTTAAATGGCACCCTCGGTATTTTTTTTCCTTTATTCGATAGAAAATGACACTCTGAATGGATTGATATATCATATGTCAAGTTTTGACATTTTCGATTAAAACAAAATTGTAGTTTAAATTTCAATCTAGAGTTTCATGACTGCGTTAAAAACACTAATTTTTAATCAAAGAGCGGAAAAATAGATTTGACTGTCTAATGTTTTTAGTGTCTTGCCCTGGCCGGTTAAAAGATGCCCAAATCGTATTTTTAATCATATCTCAATTTTTTCAAATGGAACGAGGGTGACTCATTAACATATTTGGAAAAAGCATTTTTTTACGAGTAATTTGATACTACACACGATTATTTCGAGTCAAATTGGCCTTATGAATTGCATGTTGCAATTTTTCAGATAAACCATATTCGAAAATGTCAAAAATTGACATATGATATGTCATTCTTTACTTTTGTCGAGTGTCATTTTCTATCGAATAAAGTAACAAAATACCGAGGGTGTCATTTAAAAACCAAAAGTCGTAGTCATTGCCGGTGAAACAGGAAGTGACCGAAAGCAATCGAATACGTCAATCAGTTCTAATTTATGTCATAGACTAATGTACCAAATCTCAATTTTTTATCTGAAAAAATAAAAAAGTTATAGGGTATAAATTTACAAAAAATTGTAAATTTGGTTAGGATTGTTGTTGAATTTTGTTAGGTTAAAATTGTAAATTTGGAATTTTTTGAAAAATGTTCAGGATTTTTTTTTAGTTTTTAGTTAAAAACATAATGTCATGATAATATGGAAACATAGGTAGTAGATTAAATTTACAAGAAAGAAAACCTAACAAAGATCCAGTGGTTCTCAAAATTTAAGCAACAAATCTCAATCAAATTTTCACTTATAATATCACAAGAGCTTAAATTATTTTCGGAAATTTTTTTGAGGGCACGAATATTTTGAAAATTATCCCGAGTCGAAAATATTCGTGCTCGAAAGAAAATTTCCAGGAATAATTTAAGCTTGCGTCGTATTCGGCAAGAAAATTTCACACCTAAATTTGAAAAAAAAAATATTAATCCAACATGACATTTTAAAATAATTTCAATTTGTTAAGTTGGCCAAGGTATTGATGTTTTTGACATATTATGTGTTTTGTCATTTTTGTTTGCGATTCTGTCATTAAGCTATTACTAGTTTTAAAACGTCTGTACGTAGAGTAAGAAGTGTATAGCGAAATGTCGCGATTTGGAAAAGTAAACCAACAAGTCATTAAAGAAGAAATTGAAAATATAAACCAGATAACACCCGAAAATCAAAATCAAGTGTATATCCATCATATTTCGTTAAATAGAAAAATACCAGCTTTAGTTAAATAAAGGCGGCAGAACTATATTTTTTAGAACATGGCAATTTCGAAGAAATTCATATGTAGGTATATCTAACATATTTCCTTAAATAAAAAATATTACCAACCTTAGTTACATCAAATGCTAAAACTCAAATGGGTAATATTTCAATATATAGACATTGTAGTTCATTCACACACATTATGATTGTAGATCTTATGTTTACCTTTTCAACTGTCAAAAAATTTCCACTAAAGTTTCGTGGCGCCTCGAAAAAATTTCCGGAAATTTTTTCAGTTGCCATGGTAACTAGTCAACATTAAAGCATGTTAGTGGTTGAAAAGTAGAGGTGTGGAATTTTCAAAGTAAAATAACTCTCTTATTTTGGACTTATTTGAAAAACGGTAAAGAGAAAATATGTTTCTTTTATCGAGATCTACCAGCCCTGAAAATACTTGCACTTATTTAAGATTCACCCTGTATAAAAGAATATTCAAGTGTATTTCTGAAATAAAATAAAAACTGATTGAGGGAGGATATCCATTTCGCAAAAAGCAAGCAGTTCATCATCGACGATAATATAAAAGGCAAAATTGATTTTCTTACCGCGGCTATCTCCATTTCTAAACAAATCAAACACAGACTGCTTCTAAATTGGTCGACGACAAACCACACCGACGATCTAAATCGAATGTGTTTGTCCGGATTTTAGCGGGCTCGAGTTAAATGCAAGAGCAAACGTTGACGAACTAGTTTTGATTCGGAGAAGAAATAGAAAAAGAAGATTGAAGACCCGAAAAATCTCGAGGCTTTATTTCTTTTGGCTGTTTTTTGATGTCTTAGAATTTGCTTATATGAAAGGAATATTCTCTGATACTTAAAATCCTTACTACGTGATCAGCTTTTAACGGTAGGATTTCTTTTTAAACTGTTAGACGGCAGCCAGGCAGCATATAAAAAAACAACACTCAATACCACTAACAAAAATAAAAAGTTAATTTTTAGGAACTGGTTTTGATTATTTGTCGTGTTACGCATGCGTAGTGAGTTTTCTTTCAACTGAATCCCCGACTCCGTTATGTAGCCCGAAAGAAGAACGAAAGAAATTGATCTCGAAAATATTGAAAAGTACCTTAAAATTCTCCAGCCCTTAGGTTAATACATAGTGATCAAAACATATCACCACTTTTTAGTGGACGTCCATTTGATGGCATCTAATATATGTAATGTATATGTTACGGTTAAAGTTCGATGTCCAGTTAATGTCGACATTAACATGTTAATGTTTGGTTTAGGTTATGTTTTTGGTTGTTTTGTTGTGTGTTATTCTCGAGATTAACCTGTCGACATTAACCGGACATCGGACCTTAACTAGGGATGCATGATTCGAATCGATTTTAATCGAAGATCGATCTTTTTGCCGAAAATATCGATTAAAATCGATCGATTTTTATCAAACGATCTTTTGGTAGAATCGATTTTTTTTCAAAATCGAAGATCGATTTTATTTATACATTTTTACAGGTTTATTTATTTGTTAGAACAAAAAAACACTTTAGTTTTGCTTGAATATTTGATTCCGGTGCATCTCTAATAACAACTCCAAAATTCCGCCATCTAGCAATGAAAAATTAAGTGTAAGTGCTCGCTACCGCATGTCTGTTTACCACTTTGATATTAGGTGTCAGATTTTTGTCGGTGATTCCCATATTTTTATATTTTAGATAACAGAATATTTTTTGATTTTAGCTTCTTTCCAACCGACTGATATATCAAAATTACAGAATTTACAAATTCTGTGTCAAAATCATCATAAGCATGCAAAAAGCCGAATAATAGAGAACAACGGCATACGGTCGAGTCGGCCTACAAACACGTAAACGTTTACGTACGCATGCGCGTTTCTTATATTTTTTATTTTTTATACACGTAAAAGATTCTTTACGTCTACGTATACGTGCCAGCACCGGCCGACTCGACCGTATGCCGTTGTTCTCTAATTATATTTTAACATTGTTATAGTATTTTTAATTTTTACAAGTATCTCTCGGTTTGTGGGTGTTTCTGATTCAGTTTGGGATGACTGTTATTCAGTTTCAATTTTAAATGTGTTAATAAACGGTTTTACGATTTTTATGTATCAATTTTTTTATGATTATATCGTATTTTTATTATACCAGTACACCAATACATTCAGGGTGCAGCCACACTATCCTAAAAACGGCGTATCAGCGTAACGGCGTAACGACCTTGAATCGATTTCCAGTTATTCTACTGGCTGAAATTTTTGACAGATGAATTTGACAGATAAAATTTCTGACAGATGAATGTTTCAGCCACTAGAATTACTGGAAATCTATTCAAGGTCATTACGCCGTTACGCCGATACGCCGTTTTTAGGATAGTGTGGCTGCACCCTCAGAATCGAATATCGATATTTAATAAGATCGATCTTTGGTTACCGATTTTTTTCTGGATCGATCTTGTTATGTCCGATCTTGAATCGATTCAAAATATCGATTTATTTTATTTTTGCGACATCCCTAACCTTAACCGTAACATATACATACAGTTCATACCAAATAAACCTTTAGTCACGTGATTAAGCTTGACCGGCACAGCGTTGCCCATTTTTATATATTTTCTTTCAATCAAAATATTTTAGGAAACAAAAATAAATTAATTATAAATAATAAATAAACAAAAATACGAGTGGCGGAAAAAGGGGCCAAAAAACCCTACATATATGCTTATTCTCTGCATTAAGTTCATCAGACCGAAGGGAACAGCCATTCGACCAGTGTTCCCAACTCTTAAAAATTTATCTCCCTAAAAATCTAAAACGCTCGCATCAAAAATCCCCAAAATAAAAACCTAAAAAAAAAACATCCCGAAAAAACCCTAAAAATATAAATAATAATAAATAAACAATTTGTTGTGTTTTAAGGGTGCATCCACACTATCCTAAAAACGGCGTATCGGCGTATCGGCGTAACGGCTTAACGACCTTGAATAGATTTCCAGTAATTCTATTGGCTGAAAAATTCATCTGTCAGAAATTTTATCTGTCAAATTCATCTGTCAAAAATTTCAGCTAATAGAATTACTGGAAATCGATTCAAGGTCGTTACGCCGATACGCCGTTTTTAGGATAGCGTGGATGCACCCTAAGTGGTTGACCTTGAAACGTCTGATCACAGCAATGTAGCCAACTGTTCGAAACTTTCCATTAAAGAAATATCAAACCTTCTTAAATCCAAACAACTAAAATCCCCACAACTGTTATCCAAAAATTCGGAGATTAAAATAAACTAATTATTTTGTTTTTTTAACAATAATAAAAATATCCCCAAAAAATTTTACTCCCTAAAAAAATCCCCATATAGACTTTTTCTCCCCAAATTTAGGGATAAAGATAAAATCCCGAAGTTGGTAAACACTGCATTCAACGACCGGTTTCGGAGATTTTTCTCCATCGTCAGGCCGCCTTTGCTGTAACCCTCGATCTGCCCAACGAAAAGCTGAGAATAGCATTTGAGTACAAAACGTACTACTATGGCGAGAGTGGTAGACGCTCTACGCCATCTAGCGGTAGCTGTGACAATCACAGATCGTACCGCCAAAATTAAAACCAGCGGCTTACTGGACAAACATGCTTGCTTCATCCACGTTACCGTAGATGGAGCTAAGAAGGCTTAGGTAGGGTATATATAATAAATAAACAAAAATGTGAGTAGCGGAAAAAGGGGCCAAAAAACCCTACATATATGCTTATTCTCTGCATTAAGTTCATCAGACCGAAGGGAACTGTAATTATAAATATATTCTTACGTTTTTCTTCGGTTCCGTGTGGATAGAAAGTCACAATTTATTTAAATACAATTTATTAAAAAAACTATTTAATTAACTAAAGAACTATTTATAATGTATTTACAATTTATCTAACTCTTTATCTAAAAGGAATTTATTTTGAATTTAGCGTGGCAACTGTAACTGTACGCGTCGACCTGTTATTGTTATTTCTGTCCTCCTCAGGCCCCAGGCAGGCGTCGGCTTATATATGCGAGAAACAGACAATCCAGATTTGACTCGAATTTTCTTAGCCGCGTCCTTTATCTCACCAGCTTCTATTCGTTCTCGAACGGCGCCGGGTGTATTAGTCAGCTTAGACCTTTGTCTATGTTAGTTTACACGGGTCCGCAACAATATAAACAGTTATTATTTACAACAACAAAACTCATCTTCTTAACAGCACTTAAAGGACACAAAATATTCTAATAAAGTTGTCTTGAAATAATAGCCTTTATTTTTCATGCAGATACCTTGAAATTAAGTTAAATTAATATTATATTTTTTAATCCTTAAACCCTTTCTGAAATATATCAATACCTAAATAAAAATATCGTTTCATTACAAACAACATAAATAATTGTCAAAACCCAAATCAAAAATTAAGAAAATAGTACGGTTTTGTAACCTTTGCAAATATCAATATCAATCTATTCAATTTTATAATCGCCCCCCCCGTAGCATAGTCGTCAAGTAATATCGTCGGGACTAACAAAATTAAACCTCGTATATCGCCGAGAGTTTCGTGCTATCAGGCCAGTTCACCTCAAATTGGGCATCACGCGACAAAGTTTTGATGCTTTAATATGGTCGACTGTGCGGTTAGTGCGACACCGTTGCTGACGACCCTGAAAGAAAACTCGAAATTTGGCCCCCATATACGAACATAAACATTTCCAATGTTAAAAAAAGAAATTATATTAGGTTTAATCAAATACGTTTAAATTACCTATACGGAGGGTACCGCTTAAATTCCTGTCCCGATGTTAAAGGATGGCTATAAAATTTCAATGCATTTCCTACAAGTCTATCCTTGTGTGGTAGGAGGTTTGACTAAACAAGGATGAACCTATTGTTATGATTTTTATGAGTAGGTACCTTGTTTATATAGTGTATTGTTATGATTAACAAATTATGGTTTATGTATATGTCAGATTGTATTATTCATAATGCATGTTTTTTATGACAGAGGCGATAGAATGTTACGGGAGATAAGAGTGTGAGTGAGGCGCCCGCCGCAGTCAGTCGTTACCGTGAGCTCGCACGATACACATGTTTGTGTCGTAATCCTAAGTACTAAATGTAATAAAGGAGTTATGAGGGAAATCCAGTATTTTATTTGAAAATACAAGTTGTACTGTTACATATCAGAAGTGGGATAGAACTACTAGAAGTACCACAAGAGTTTAAAAAGTGCCAATATGCCATGTTGGGTGTGAATCCATAAGTTAAGCAAACTGCAAGTCATGTTTGCTAAAAAAATTCTTTTGATTGACCATGTTGACATAAACACTAAAGCAGTGAGAAAATATAGCTTCAGAGGATACATTCGAATAAGATAAGTACACAGATATCAATTAATTGTTAATTTATGTTTCATAGTTGCGAATATAAAAATTTTATGTTGCTTGTTTATGATTTTAAAGACGTTATTGAAATTAATACTCCAATAAATTAAATTTGTAAAAGAATCAAATAAAATAAAAGGTACAGATCAATTAGTGATAGTGATATCACTATAGGACAGCCTGTATAACGATAAAAAAGTTTTAACTAAAATTAAAAATAAGCATCTTTTATAATCTCTTGACAAATTTGATTCAAGCAATATCAAATTCTAAATTCTTTTCTTCTAATGCCTAAATTATTTAAATTTATTTTGTAAAGCTATTCAATACCAGTGAGTGGAATGAAACAATAAGACTGTTTAAAATATCACCAAGGTTTAAATTTACATTGTGAAGAAACGATCACAAAACTAAATCTTTAGAAACATTATAGACTGATTATAGTCTAAAAATAATTATTGTTTGAATAAATTTTATGA